GAGCAAGCTGCCAGGGTATAGCCTCCGATGGACGAAGCCGAAATGGTTGTAGTATTTCTACATGCCCAAGAGGCGGACAGCTTCCAAAACATGATGTCCGCTATGGGTAGGCCATTTGCCGAGGTTATCAAAATTGGGGAGTTGGTAGAAAATGGGTTAAAAACGGGCCGAATCTTGAGTCATGCTACCTTTATGGCCACATCACGGGCCGTTCAGAGTGGTTTGGAGGGTTTGATGAACAGAAATTGGAGAGATGAGGAATTTGATACGGCACTGAAGTCCCTTACAGCCCTTGCCGAGACAGAGGAAAAGCCAAAAAACGGTCGCCAAGCCTGGAAGTTCCCCATCAGATGGGAGTCTTGGTAGCCAGTCTTGCTATTCTTTCTGCGTCATGATTATCTCAGGATGTGATCCGGATGTTTTACTTTATTGTCTTACTTTTCGGTGTAAACCCTTCTATCTTTAATTTTTTTTTTAAAAAATCAATCGAAAAAAAGAACAAAAATCAAATGAAATTAATATTTTATTGTTCAGGAATGTCTCTTTCTTAATTGTCACTTCTCTTATTCTTTTTTCAGTTATGGTAAATGCAGATTTCAATAACATGACATGCTTGCGGACTTCATGCCCAGATCCTAAAATGCTGTCAGACTTTGAAATAATGAATCAAGAATCAGAATGCAATGAAGATATGTTTAAGAAAATAAAACAAAGAATTGGAACAACTAAAAGAAAATTGGCTTCAGGTTGGAAAGGTTCATACATTGCACAAGAGTACTGCCAAAAGAGAGCGTTGTACTTGGGACACATCGAAGAAAATGTCCCTAAAACAATTGTCAACGCAGGTGCAGTCAAAAGGTACTATGTTGGATCCTCTATATCGCATTAATGTTCTCCGGTTGTGATGAAGAAAGCTTTCTTTCTCACTATCCAAATATTTAACCCTTTGCAAACCCTTTTGAGCCGGCTCCTATTCTTTGATTACCCTCATTGGAACCTAGAAGTCATTATTGAAAAACAAAATGAATGAAAAATGAAAAAAAAAAAATGAAAAGAGAAGAAAAAGAAAAATACAAAAAAAGGATGAAGAAAAGACAAAGAAAATGAAATGAAAAATGAAAAAAAAAGGAAAGGAAAAAGAAAGAGAAAACAAAAGTTCCTTGAATTACGTTCAACTTGATTCCGAAAGGATACGTAGGCAGCCTCTCTCTGGGGTTCAGTCACACCAAAATAAAAATTCAAATTCCCCAAAAAGTGAAACTAGGGCAGATCTTATAATGTTTCGGCGATGGTCTCGCCTAAAAGGTTCCAAAGTTGTAATTCAATCCAAATGCTTTTTACCCCAAACTCCTGTTCAAGTCCTTCCGATCAATCGGCAAAGAGATTCAAAATGGGAGGATACAGTTATATGTATCCAATGTAACAAAATGAGAGAAATAAAATGAGAGAGTCTTATTGGTGAAAACCCTCACAGGCACCGAAAGGCAACGGTAAGCAGAGAAATTGAAAATGAGAGTCTTGTTAGTGAAAACTCGCAAAGAGCACTATAAGGCGACGGTGAGAAGAGAAATAAGAGAGGTCAGCTGATAAAAACCTGCAAAGGGTGCCACTGATCAAAAAGAAGATCCTCACAATCACTGGCACCGACACAATCCTGGGCAAGGTCTCTCAGTTTCAAGGCAAAAGTTGTGATGAATTTCTGAGAGTCAGACGATTTACACAAGATCAGGCATCCAGTCCAAAAGGCATGTCATGTTCAATGAAGTCCGCATGCACTCCAGATAAGTCCTTCTTTCCTTTCCCCGTAAGGGATACCTCTCTTCTAAGTTCATTTGTCCATTTCATTGTTTGCTTTTATTTGAATCCCTTTCGGTTTAATTCTGTTATGAAACTAAGACAAAGAAAGGATGGCAATATTGATTTACAGGGTTCTTGTGTGATACGAGCCAATATTCAAGAAGGCACCCAGCCTCGGCAGGTGTATCGAGTTGACTCCGACTGGCCATGATGGCCGATGTTTTGAAATCAAAAACTCTTGAAAAGAAAGGAAATCAAAGTCAAATGCCCACAAAGGCAAAATAAAGTTGAAAGGTTAAGTCCCACGTGACCAACCGTCATGGCAAAGTCTGGAAAAGCTAGAGGTTCTCTAGGGTCAGAAATGCAATCGGTATTTAGGAAATAACCAGTTGCAGTTAAAAGGGCCGAGATCAACTGACCGAAACATTCAAGGCCACAAAACCAACCACCGTTTCAAACTAACACATTGTTCTTTTAAAAAAAAAGGAAACAGATGTAATCCAAAGCAACCTTGCAAGAAGCAGGTGCAACCAAAAAGAAACTGCGCAAGGGCTAGAAACAACTTTGCAGCAACAACTCCAAAAAGGGAAGTCTCCAAAATTATTTCCCGCAGTTACTCATTCTCTGAAATAAAAAAAAAGAAGAAAAAGAAAACGATGATTATAATGATGAAAAAAAAGGGGGAAGTCTTCTCCAAATTCATTCCCGTATTTTACTCATTCTCTAAAAAAAAAAAGAATAAAAGTTCGAAATCATGGTAGTATAGGGTCTCCAATCCCTAACTGCATTTTCTAACATAGGGTCTCCACTCCCTAGTTGATGCTTTATAGACATAGGGTCTCTATTTCCTAGTTTGCTTTTCCAACATAGGGTCTCCACCCCCTAATTGATGATATTTAGACATAGGGTCTCCACTCCCTAGTCTCTTTTCCAGCATAGGGTCTCCACTCCCTAGTTGATGTTATTTTAGACATAGAGTCTCCACTCCCTAGTCTCTTTTCCAACGTAAGGTCTCCACTCCCTAGTTGATGATTTTTAGACATAAGGTCTCCACTCCCTAGTCTCTTTTCCAACATAGGGTCTCCACTCCCTAGTTAATATTATTTTAGACATAAGGTCTCCACTCCCTAGTCTCTTTTCCAACATAGAGTCTCCAATTCCTAGTCTACTTTTCCAACATAGGTTCTCCACTCCCTAGTTGATGATATTTGGACATAGGGTCTCCACTCCCTAGTCTCTTTTCCAACATAGGTTCTCCACTCCCTAGTTGATGATATTTGGACATAGGGTCTCCACTCCCTAGTCTCTTTTCCAACATAGGGTCTCCACTCCCAAGTTGATGATTTTTAGACATAGGGTCTCCACTCCCTAGTCGCTTTTCCAACATAGGGTCTCCACTCCCTAGTTGATGTTATTTTGGACATAGGGTCTCCACTGCCTAGTCTCTTTTCCAACATAGGGTCTCCACTCCCTAGTTGATGTTATTTTAGACATAGGGTCTCCACTCCCTAGTCGCTTTTCCAACATAGGGTCTCCACTCCCTAGTTGATGATTATTTTAGACATAGGGTCTCCACTCCCTAGTCGCTTTTCCAACATAGGGTCTGCACTCCCTAGTTGATGTTATTTTAGACATAGGGTCTCCACTCCCTAGTCGCTTTTCTAACATAGGGTCTTCACTCTCTAGTTGATTTTATTTTAGACATAGGGTCTCCACTCCTTAGTCTCTTTTCCAACATAGGGTCTTCACTCCTTAGTTGATTTTTATTTTTAGACATAGGGTCTCCACTCCCTAATCGCTTTTTCTACATAGGGTCTCTACTCCTTAGTTGATTTTATCTTAGATATAGGGTCTCCACTCCCTAGTCTTTGTTTTCCCAGGGAACACCAATCCCAACCTTTTATTGCTTTCAATAATGAAGTAGTATAGAGTTTTGTTACAAATAACTCACTAAATATTCCTAGTGAAAACTGGGGCAGAAAATTTCGTTCGTTTGTTTTGGTGCCTGAGCAGGTTATACCTCGAGGCACAAGGTTCGAGATGACCAAAAGAAGATGTCTCGATCCAAAGAAAAGAAAAGAAAAGAAAGAAGTGAATCCAAAGTGCAGAAGCAGATGAATAGATGTGGACTACTCAAGACATGACTGAAGTCACGAGCATTGCATTTCCCGTTTTGATCCGAAGAAGCCATAGAAGAATGAACTAGCACCTGCAGCTAACAAGCATCAAAATTGAGATCAGAGTCTGTATCTAGACCAGCCAAGACTCAAGATCAAGCTTCAGAAGTCTTATAGATAGGAATCTTATAACTCATAGTTGATAGGCTTAGTTAGTCTTTTTCATTTTTGACTTTGGTGTAATAAGGAGCTCAGTAAGCAGCAGCAGCAACAACAACAGTGAAATAACAGCTTCCTGGTAGTCTCAACTACCTAAACTTCCAGAACTACATTGACCTGATTCCTTTATAGCCAAGAATATGTAGGGAACCTCCGAAGCAAGGTTCGGTTAAACTTTTCAAAAAACGCTTCCCATGGAGTATCCAAACGGGCAAATATTGCTCGCAATTACTCACTTTATCTTTTCTCGAAAACTCTTCATGTTTTCGAGTAAAGAGGGGCAGCTGTGAGCACCTAATTTTTGCCCTTATATAAAATTACTCCTAAAAATAATCCAAAAATAATTTTAATTGTTTTTATGGATTTTAGATGTTTTCCTTTATTTGTTTTTGCACTTATTCGCATTGTTATGCATGCTAGTAGTATCGTAAATCAAGAAAATCATAAAAAATGTTAAAATCTTAATTTTATAGTATTCTAGATTTTAAATTGCATTTTAGAATTTAATTACATTGTTAAATGCATTAGTTAAATACATAAAATCACAAAGTGCATTCTTAGGTTAGTTAATTAATTAATTAGTTGAATTAGTCTATCATTAGGTAAAATAAATAGACTAGCCACAAAAAGTGAGATTTAAATTAAAATTTGAGTCTAAAGTGGCTAATTTTACAAATGGCTAATAAAGAAGGAAAAGAAGGAAAAAGGCTGATAAGCTAAATCAGATTGGGCCATTGTTTCACGCCATATTTTTGCCACATTTTCGCCCAGACCCGGTCCAAATTCTTAACCTCTGAGACCATGAAATGACGTAGTATCACCCAAGTACTACGTCGTTTTCCCTTCCCATCTCATTATAACTCCCTTCCCCAACAAAAAAACCCTAGCCTTCCCCTTCTCCATCTTCATCCTCCTAGCCGCCATCTGAGGTTCTGAAAACACCAGAGGCGGACGACCCCTCATTTAAAAAAAAAAAACAAAAAACCCTAGCAGCTCCTCCATCAACTCCAACAACGCATTTTCTCACTCAAGACGTTCAATCTCACCCTCATTTCACTCATACATAGATCTAAAAGAGAAGAGAGATTCTTCAAATTTCAAAAAAATCGAATCCGAAAATAAAGGGTCTAAAAAGGGAAGATGAATGTTTGATGAAGATTTGAATTCTAATGGATTGTTAGAAACGTTAAGGCTTAAAGACTTTTTCTGGATTCCTATCAGTGCTGTTCAAAGTCTAAGTTGCCGATTTTCGCTGAAGCTAGGCTCCAATTTGAAGAACCTCGTATTTATTCGGCTTTCGATCTAGTTTGCTTTTTGTTCTTGCTTCAAACAACTTTATTTTGTCCGCTGTTGTTGAGGTAAGTAATTTCCTTCCTGAAATTATGCTTCTATTTGACTTTTGATGTCATGAAATTATAAGAATGTATATGCTTTGAGCTCGAATTGAGATCCGTAAGTGTTTGTTATTGAATGAGCGTTAATGTTACATTTCACTTTGAATCTAAGATGATTCAGTCACTATATTCCATCTGCTTGTTGTGAATATATCGGATTCCTATCGGGATATGCTAATTAGTGATTAAATAGTTTTTTTTTATATTTTGAAATCAGTTGTGTTAGAAGTCACATTTTTGCAGATCTGATTAATGTTCAAACTGTTTTGGTTAATTAAATTTTAGAAACACTTGTGGAACCAACTGAAGTTCATGTCTAAAAGCGTCAATATAAAGGGCAGAGTTTAAGAATTGGTCATTTATGACATGCTTGGTTTGTAATCTTAATTTTAGTAGTTGAGACATCGATCTAGTAGCCTGCGTGAATGGTTTGTGATTTGAATCACTGTTAGCATTAATTGATAGTTTCATGTGCTTGACATAAATCTAATCTGAAATCCTCCTTATTGTTAATTGAGTTCATGAGCTACAAATGGATTTTGCAAAATATGTGTTCTGTATCTTGCCTCTTTAAGTCATTAGATGTGTTCACTAATTAGTTAAAGGATGGATCTGGGCTAAGTGACGCAAGGATTGGAAAAGAAAACCATAGAGGGCAGCTGAGAAATTGTGAGCAATTATAGAGTTTTTCTTTCAAAAGACAAACAGTTATGAAGCAGCCTATGCTTCTCGTTGTTCTAAGATATTTCATCCATCATTTCTGGGTGTGCAAAGTTTGATTCGATCTATTTTGTTGCTGTCGTTGCTGCTATTCCACTGTTGAGCTCCAACACTTCATTTGATAGCCTTTAGTTGGTCTTTTCAGCTTGTTTTGAACACTAGGTGCACACATAATCCCATGTATTTATGTTTGAGTTGTATAATTGAATCACCTAGCTTCCCTCATTGATTGAATGTTGAATTTATGCTCCTGTTATGGTGTAATTCAACTATTTCTGGTAGTATTTTGCTAGTTGGGCTATATATGGTTTAAATGTACAACAAATCTCAAAGTAGTTTACGAAAATAACTCATGAATATTGTAGATTACTTTAGGCGCGATTAATAATAATCATCATGACTATGGGTACGGTTCCCGTAGTATAGTCATGATACGTAATCCCCAATTCGAGTGTGCGTTTCACGTGACTCGATTATAATTTTAAATAATAATAATAAAATAAACATATTACAAATCACGGGTGCGTTTCACATGACGCGATTCACAATGTGTACATAAACAATAAGTCGACATCGTAACTTATTTAAATAAACTCCATAAATTCTAAAAGCAATTAAAACTCTATTAAAGCGGTTAAAAAGGTAAAAGTGCACAATAGGTTTCAAATATGTATTAAATCAGATAATTAGGCCAATTATTAACAGTTGAGTGACCGTGCTAAAACCACGGAACTCGGGAGTGTCTCACACCTTCTCCCGAGTTAATAGAATTCCTTACCCGGTCTTCTATATTCGTAGACCATAAATAAGAGTCAATTTCCTCGATTTGGGATTTAAAATAAATTGGTGACTTGGGACACCATAAATTATTCCAAGTAGCGACTCTGAATAGATAAATAATCCCATTTCGATTAATGTCACTTAAATATGAAAAAACTCCCCAATCCCCTCGAGAAAAAAGAAGGTGTGACAAATTCAGGTCCAACATTCTCTTCCTCTTCATCATCACCCTTATCAGGGTAGGGTGTGTCATCTCCAGACTCATCGGCATTGTTTTCATAATCACTATTCAATTCCTGACTCTGTGCATCTGCCAGATCCCGATTAAATATGTCGTCTTCGGGCAATTGAGTAAGGACAAGACCTTCAGGATGTTCGTTTTCACTGCACAACCAACAAAATAATGAGTTACTCAAATTGATAAATACTTTACGTATAGCTATATCACTTCACTTACAAATCGTAATGTGTTGACATCCCATGATGGACATTATCCTATTGTTGATGACTCCCGGATGGACCACCATGATCCAACATACCTGAACTAGGAATATTCCAACTTGGTGTTAGTTCATAACTTGTAAAATTCATATCTGGCCGGTACCCCCTGTGGAATATATGAGTGTTAATACAAATTCAATACAGCAAAAATAAACATCGTAACACAAAGGAAAATTGAAGTTTACCACTCGTCTTGTGGATTATGTAAACTAGGAGAGAAATTATTTCCTCGCTCCTCATTTGCCCGTAGAGATAAGTTTGGATCAGGCCAAACTCTTTCAGCCGGAACCTGTTCGGCTAAAACTGCTCTAAAACAACCACCCGATGACTGACGGATAAATCTGCTTTGCGCAACCTCATTATCGCGAACGTCTTCAACCTTGACGTACATTTCCAATATTTTTATCACAAGAAATTTTCGTTATTCATCCGGAGTCCTCAAAAAATCTCTCAGAGTTTCATCGTCCTCAATGTTAAACTCAGCATAACAAGTAATCCCTTGCGGAGTGACAAAATACGGATATCTTCCGGTTACTTTAAGGTTCACTGAACGTTTGCTCACAGTCATTTTTTTTTACATAATAGCGATACCAATTTATCGTACTCCATTGTAAGTGGCAACTTAACATAACATTGTGGAGATAAATTATAGGTTACTGAGTTATTCGCCACCATAACCTCACCCCCCTCCCCCCCATATAATGAAACCCTTACTTTTCGCTCTTCAGACATTATGAAAAAATACAAAACAACTTAACGAAGAAATATTTTAGAATACTTGAGAATATTTATGAATGTATTTTTAAAAAGTTCTTAACCTCCTTAAATAGGGAATAAAAACTAGTCTGGGGTACAATTGTTTTAGGTATAACGCCCAGTTGAATTGTTGTTATTTCAGTTAAGCCCAGAAAAATTAATTGTGGGCCCACAAAATATGTAGAGCGCCTTAATAAACAAATACTTGCCCGTCTTTTCAAATTCAAGTATAACACCCATTTAAAGGGCGTTATACCTTAACGGGCAAACGACCGTTAAGGTATAGCGCCCTTTAAAAGGGCATTATACATATTTTGGTCACTATATTTTTTTCCACACATTTCGGTCGTTTGAGTCCAAAAGAATCACATTTTGGTTATGGAGTCGCGAAATCGCCGTCTGAGCTTCCTGCACACGCCGCTCGGTTTTGTCGGAGAAGGGTTTTTTTTTCCAGATAAGGGTCTCATTTGCCCCTCTACTATCATAAATAGGCCTTATTTACCCTCAGTTTAAATGTTCTATCAAAAATATCCTTACCGTTATACATTGGGTTCATATTTACCCCTTACATGTTTAAAACAAGTTACATTTGCCCTTCGTTATACTTTAGGATCATATTTACCCATCTACTCTTCAAAAAGGGTTACATTTGCCCTTCGTTATATTTTCTTGACATATTTATCCTTACAATTATACTTTAGGATCATATTTGCCTCGTATCCGTTAGATCGCCATGTCCCACCTTTGTTTTCCTACATGGCGCCTATGTGGATTTTTTTTTCTTCCAATTTAAATATGGTCATCTATTTAAGATAATTTAATCCGCCCACCCAATTTAAATAAAACACACTAACTAAAATAAATGAAAATCATAATTCCCAATCCCCTTCAACTCGTCCATCTCTCTTCTCCGGGTCAGTTCCATATTTTTCGGAGAGCGAGAAAATTTTGGACAGTGAGTGAACGAAACTATAGTGTTATCTCTAATTGATTTATTTAATTATTTCACATTTGTCTATGATAATTTGTTTCTCTTTAATACTTAGGATTTAGGAGACATGAATCACTCAATGATGTTTTGAAGTGTTTGTAGAGATACAACTCTGTAAAGTCTAAGCTGGGTCAATTGACCATGATTGATCCACGAAAAGCAATTTCCTGATACGACATTTATGAATATTGTGCGAAATACAATAGTTATAGCAGCGGCAACATATTGACAAATAATAACTTTGAACTCAAAATCACTAATCTAATACAACTCATAATTATTGCAGTAACCAAAGTAAATTACGAGAAATTGCACAACAATGGAGTTAATGAAGTCTTATTTAAATTGGGTGAGGGGGTTAAATTATCTTAAATAGGTGACCATATTTATATTGGAAGAAAAAAAAATCCACATAGGCGCCATGTAGGAAAACAAAGGTGGGATATGGCGATCTAACGGATGAGAGGCAAATATGATCCTAAAGTATAATTGTAAGGATAAATATGTCAAGAAAGTATAACGAAGGGCAAATGTAACCCTTTTGATGAGTAGAGGGGTAAATATGATCCTAAAGTATAATTGTAAGGATAAATATGTCAAGAAAGTATAACGAAGGGCAAATGTAACCCTTTTGATGAGTAGAGGGGTAAATATGATCCTAAAGTATAACGAAGAACAAATTTCACTCGTTTTAACGTGTAGGGGGTAAATATGAACCTAATGTATAACTGTAGAGATATTTTTGATAAAACACTTAAACGAAGTATAAATAAGGCCTATTTATGATAGTAGAGGGGCAAATCAGACCCTTATCCGTTTTGTTTTGAATGATTTGGGGAAGAGACTAGAATATTTGGTCTGTTGAAGTGGATGAAAGGGGAGGAGATACTATGCTTCTGGGTTCGATGCTACTGGCTCGTGTGTATTGGGCCGTATAACAAACCAATTAATGGTATGTGGTTGGCCCTCAAAATGGAGTAGGAATGACACCAGTTAGCCACTTTAAATGGTTGCTATATAGGAATTACTCAATGTGTCCTGAAATTTTAATTTTTCAGTTTAATTTTTCGAAAAATAAATATTCTGAATTATCTTAATTTTATAATATTTAATTAATATTTTCAAGACAAATAAACACTGGTTAATGCCTTAATAGCAGCCCTAAAAGAATAGTTGTTTGTGTACTTTCCTCCCCCCCTTCCCCCCCAAAAAAAATAGATTGTCTTGAACTTTTCTCCTCACTTGCCTCATGGATAGAACTTCAAGGTTAATAAGTATTTCACTTGCTTGCCCCATGTGCAACACTTTTAATTTTTGACCTTGAAGTTCTGCTCATAGGCAAGCGAGGATCAAAAGTTAAAGACCACCTGATGTCACGACCCCAAATAACAAGTGTCGTGATGACGCCTATCATGATACTAGGAAAACCGACAACTCACACATACCAACATCTTAAATTCAATATATACTGAAATATGTTTAAGTAAGTAAGAATCTCATAAAAACTGGATGAAAATGCCACAACTCAAAACAGAATTTTCCAAAAGATTCGGGTGTCACGAAGTACATGAGCATCTAAACAATAACACGGTCTGACAAATGAAACACTGTCTAGGAAGGTAGAACAGTATAAACAAAGCTAAAAGATAAAGGAGGAGAGTCAAGGTCTGCGGACGCCATGGCAGCTACCTCGATAATCTCCGACTGATGAAGCTCCAGAAATCAACAACCACCGTGTCCAAAAATACCGGGTTCTGCATACGAAGTGTAGAGTGTAGCGTGGGTACAACCAACTTAATAAGCAATAAGTCTAACCTGTGGGCTGAAAGCAGTGACGAGCTTGAACAATACAGTCCAAATACAGAATTAAATAGTATGGAAGTTGACAGAAAATATGAAAATAATATCTCAGAGAAAGTCATAATTTGCAGGTACCAGTGCAGGAATGTAGACATGCTTCCAGGTTTAACAGTTAAGCTCAATACATTTAAAATATGCCAGTCTGAATGATATGAGGAATATGACATCTCTATATCTACATGCCTATATGCATATCGTATGTGATGCAACACTATGAAAGCCTCGCGTACTCACACTCTTAGAGTACTCAACTCGACCGTCTCAATTCTTACTCATCACACTCAATCACTCAGCACTGTATGGTACCTGCTGCGGCGTGCAGCCCGATCCCATCATGAATCAATAGCAATTGCGCTTACTGTGTGTGTGCATACTCCGGAGGGGTGAATCCTGCCC